TGGATGACATTGAGTATAACTGTGCAACATTCAATAAAGAGTTCACAGACAGTGTCTACGCAAGTTCCACCATCATGAGGTTAACAAACATAGGAACGAATGTTCATCTACATCTGTCACTTTTTATGCAGTTGACTTCCGATAATTGTGGAAAGACGTCAAAGTTATTGACTAATGATGTTTCTGCCACAGCTATGATGAGTGGTTTTAGTCCATCCACTAATACACCTAGTTCATGATATTTGATTCTTAAACTACGAGAGTTTGCATATAATCTTCTAAAGAGTACGACCAATCCACGCTAGCCTTAATAGCATATACATCCAAGAATGACTGCTCGAAAATCCGTTTTTCTCACAGTACATGTCTGATAGACTTCTTTAACGAGGTTACTCGTATACGTGACCAGAAGGAACTAGTTATTATACTATACTTCGATATTAAGAAAGCCTTTGATAAAGCACCTCATAATCTTCTAATCGACAGACTTAAGTCAGTTGGAATTATAAATCCCCTTTTGCAATGGATCAAGTCTTTTCTTACGAACAGATATTAAATAACCAAGATTAACTCTACAACATCTACACCTCCACCAATAACCAGTGGTGTTGGACAGGGTAGTGTCTTGGGTCCATTGCTCTTTATAATCTACATCAACAATATATGGAAGCGCTTTAGCACAGGTAAGACATACCTCTATGCCGATGACTTAAAAGTCATCTATAAAACTGACTTTTGCGACGTACATAGTACTATGCAAACAAACCAACATAAACTCAACATGGTAGACGACTGATGCAAACGCTGGAGGTTAGAGCTCAACACAGAGCAATGTGGATGGTTATGTATAGGAGACACGTCGCTTAAAGTAAAACTAACACTTGACAACAACACATTGCCCAGACTGGCATCAGTAACTGACCTAGGGGTACATTACTCACACAGTCTTAATTTCTCTGAACACATCTCAGCCAAAGCATCCAAAATGCGGAAATTGCTTGGCTTCATTCTCCGTAATTTCTATCAAAATGAATCTAAAATCCTTCTTTACAAAGTTTGTGTAAAACCTATCGTTGAATACTGCTCGTTCTTATTTTCCAACCTACGCCTATCTGATATACTAAAGGTGGAAGGAATACAACGAGACTTCACCCGCAATGTACTTAAGACTGACTCGGTCACTGACTACAGTTCCCGATGCCAAATCTTAGGAATAGCACCCCTTTGGGAGAGAAGGCTTAGGTCTAATTTGATTCTCTACTTCACACTACTCAAAGACCTTACTTATTCAATATGTAAGATAATTCTTAGCCAAGATTCACATGAATACGGACTTCGAAACAAAGTATCTACGGTCATAGTTGAGAAATACAGATCAAAAACTCTGGAAAACTCCTTCCTCACCAAGTATGCAATAATATGGAACAGTCTTCCCTCCGAAACTCGCATAGCAGATGAATTACATACGTTTGTAAAACTGCTTGATCAAGCCCTCACTTGCACTGATCTAGCACGTACGAACACATCTGTGCCTCACTCAGACATCATAGGCTCTCTCCATGTTTAGACCAAAATGGACTTCAAGTTCAATTTGCCTTATTTTTCCTACTTTGCAGTTGTATTAGTTACTTTTTCCACCCTATTTCTTCACTTGAAGTAGACAGGTAACCCACTGAACCTGTCGATGCTGTTCAGCTAAACTCGGTCGCTAAGGGTCACTCACTACCACCCTAAAAAGTCAAGAGGACCGCACAATGGACTGCCTACTACCAGTGGTCCTGCATCTATGGAGCCTGTTACCAATCAGCTGGTTAGGACAGCACAAAATAACATCAGCACCAAGTTACTGTGAGTTTTTTCCTGTTTATCTTGTATTAACGTTTTACTCTTCTGCACACTATGTTGACTAGCAATTAATATTATTTCTCCACTCGTTACCTTATCTACAACTCATACACTTCTATACTTTTCCGCCTGTTTTGATAAACAACTATCCTACATTATACCCTTCTTAATGCTTATACTCTGATTGACAAACTGTACTTTATTATAGTCAACAGAAACACTGCATCGGTGCCTTACCCACAGTCCATAACTTGTAACTGCCTGATAAGCTTCTAAAGTGGTACTTATAGAAATAGTGTTTTCCAACAGGTTGTGAAACACGGAGGATTGTGTGAGGTATGACATATATCCAGAAATAAGCTTAAATGAGCCTACCATCACAAAAAGGAGGAGGGTGGAGTTACTGACCACCCGTGTTCGTGGGGGCAGAACATTTTGTATGTATCAGGCTCTTTATGATTGAGAATAAGTCAATCAATCTGTGATATAGATTGTCTTGCCACGCTCACCACTCAGACATGTTTCCAATTTTGTGGTAGATTAGCTATTCTACTAAGACAACCTATAACATGCTAACTCAGACTTTTACACTAGGATTGTGTGGCTGGCATCGGATGGACAAAAAAGAAAGGAAAGAAAATATTAGACAATGAAAGATACAGTCATTAGTATTCTTAACACTTCACCCTCTATATGCACACTCCCTTCTAATAAACCGCTTTTGTTGTACCAACCTTGACTTCCCTTCCTTCATTTGAGCTTACTTCAACTTGTTAAACATCACAACTCATTGTCCTTTATTACTTTATTCTCGAATATGGAGCCTCTAACTTCATTTCACTCTAACAAGAGATAATAAGAATTTATTCTAATTTATTATACCTCTGTCTGTTCTACTACACAATGTTAAGCAAAGTTTGGCGTTCATATCCAAGTGCCTTGCTGCTCTTCTGTTTCTCTTTTTTTCTTCAGAATCTTGCTCTGAGGGCACAGCTATGAAACTTCTGACGTATGGAACAAACTAGGCGTACGCGTCTCCTCAAGGTCATTGATTACAGCAAGCGCTTTACGAGTCTGATTTATAACAACTATAAACTTGATAAGTTGGGAAGCATGTTCTGCATCAACAAATGTGGTAATTTATAGCTCATACCTGTAAAAATGGCGTGTACCTGCACATGCAGAAATATATTATTAATGTTAATTAATATTAACATCTAAAAACTCGATATTTTAAGATTAGGGTAAACTTAACTTTCTCTCAGGCTATGGAATATCCTAATGGGGCCACCAATGTTCAGCATTAGAACGGCTTTTTTTCTTGAGTTATATTAACGATTTTTCACAACAGGTATCATCTGACTTATTGTTCTTCGTTGATGAGGGAATCGTTCAGCCATGAGGGTGGACTAGCACTTCAGGAAGATCGGACTACACTTCAAGGGCGAGCAGACGACAACAGACTTAACTTTAACACTTAATAGCGTAAAGTAGTCCGTCTGAGGCATGTTGCAAACTACAACTACAACTTAGGCAACTCCCCTCTAGTGGTATCTCAAATTTAAAAAGATCTAGGTATGTTGATACCCTTCTTTCTGAAGTGTTACGCTAACTGCTTCAAATATGCTTTATATCAAACCTTTCACTAGTAGCATTGGATCGCATTTTCGTCCAGTTTGGAGGAAAGACTTTCCACCTAATCTTTAATAGTTTTATTCGTCTCGATTTAGAGCACGGAAATATTGTATTTCCTCCCTGACCCCCAAAGGATTAGGACACTCTTGTACGTGTCACGGAATCAGTTCGATGATTCAAATTCAAACCTTATGAAGAGCGCCCTCAATCACCAAACCCTTACCCATAAGAGTACAGGCGTCTTAGAGGTGACCTTCTAATGGCGTACAGCATCTTTAAGACTTCTGGACATTCCCTTAAACATCTACATAAGTTTAGCTCCAACACAAACGTAAGGGGTAACACCCGGGAACTGGAGACATGACTCAGCAGGACGGATTGTAGACACAAAGTCTACTCCTTAAGAGTTGTCAAATGCTGGAATTCACTGCCGGCCGAGCTAGTCCAAACGACTTCATATGAATCGTTTAAGAGAAATCTTGACATATTCTTAATAATTAAGGCTTTTACCTTACAACGAATTACTAATTTCTTTATCCTTAATATACCTAAGTGATTCATTGCTACTAGGCTCGGAAGCCCGTTAAGCGAAAGCTTCTTATATTCCGTCCACAACCAATTGAACCATTTGAAGAGTAGACGTTATATTTTTAAGCATTCAGGGCAGGATTTCATCATCTTTTACTAACACTTTTAAAATGCCACAGGTATTCGGAGTCAAACAACACTCTTAGAAGTAAAACCTTCACAATTTGAGTATGCCATCTAAGTCAAACTAAAAGTCAGAAATGAAAGGTTTCGAAGATATAGTTGAAAGGCTATCGATTTATCGGAAAGCGTTAAATCTAAGCTGACTACCGGCCGTAGGAGATGCGTAGCACGATGTACCCACTCGCTATCTGGTGCAAATGCACTACCGAGCACCGTCAGCTAGAAGGGTTTGCTAAAACTAGTGTGGTCAGCATCAAATGTCGAAGACAAACAAGACTATTTATTTTTGGGATTTATTTACTTTTACAACTTCTCTTTAGCCTGTTAAACATAACTAGGTCCGAACCTGACCCCATCAACGACCTACTGCTGCTATGTACGGAAGCCTCTTTAGCGAAGGCTTCTTCTCTTTCGTCTGCAACCATTTGAACCATTTTTCGAACACTCACATTGGTAATGCAACTCGAAGTAACGAAATGCGACGAAGTCTTAATAACTTCTGCGAACTGAAACAATTGTGGCATACCCAAAATTTTGCTTGATGATGATGACTGTCTGAGAAGTAGTTTGAATTTGTACTCAGCATTACGATTATAGGCCTCGGAATTTTATCTGCTACACTGTACTTGTAGCATTAGTAGTGTCCGAAAAAGATTGTAACCAAAACTTTTGCACCTTTTTTTAACTTTGTAACACGGCAAGTTTTATTTAACAAGGACATTAGAGGTTTCTCAGAGAATTAAATTTCGAGGAACTACTTATCTGTGTAACTCAAAATTAGAGTTTGAACTGTGAGTCTCGTACGTTCAGACAACCTTGACAAGGAAAAGCGCTTTTTATGGTTGGGTTTCTTGTCAATGTCGAGGCGTGATGTCGCTCCTGGTGCGAATGCTCAAGAAATGAGTGATGTGAACCAAAATTTGTCCTACAGTTTTCGGTTGGGCATTTCTAGTGACGTGGAGGTATTATATATGACCTAGAATAACGAAGGAAGTATTTTCGGCTCTAGGATACACAAGCCTTTCGTCGAAACCAGACATCACGATGCAGCTCTACAGGTGTGCTGTCTTTCACTAATGACGACTTACATCCTGATATCTTACTGGACCAAGGCATCGAAGTAGGTTTAACTCTACGAAACATTTGGCTCTCAGGGTTTTGACTATGATCCTGTTCAGAATAAAATATTCACTGACGAAGGAGTACGAAGGGCGTCTTATGTAACATATAATACAGTTAATTACACTTTACAGGGAAGCATCTTTAGGGGAGCCTCGCTAAGGCATTTAGTACTATTCTTCATAGGCGTGTTTACTGGACTTTCTGCCTGCGTAATTGATTACGCTATTGAAAACATCTCGAAGTATAAGTATAGATCAGTTTCATGGCGTATCCTTTTAATAAACAACATAGAGGCTCAGGTTACACTTCAACAAACTGTCTTCCTTCCTTAACCAGCGTAGTTATCAGTCGTTACCCACATTCTTTGTGGATTTCTGTTCCAGGATTTTTGTGGTGTGCAATCAATTCTTTCCTCACAGGTATAGCAGCTACACTAGTCGTCTTTTTAGCTGTATGTCAAGTTTCTGACCAAATATTCTTGTAGCCAGTTGCTTCTGGAAGCGGAATCCCGCAAATTAAATGTTATCTTAATGGTCTTAATGTTCCTCGTGTAATGCGATGCCTGACTATGATCGTAAAGGGTGTTGGTGTTATTTTGGCGGTGTCTGGAGGTTTGGCTGTTGGAAAAGAGGGACCTATGATACATATTGGCTCGGTGATTGCTGCAGGATTATCACAAGGGCGATTGCGGTTTTTAAAATATTCCTTGGGTTGCTTGAAGATTTTTAGAAATGACCAAGAAAAACGTGATTTTGTCAGTGCTGGTGCGGCTGCTGGGGTTGCAGCTGCTTTTGGAGCACCTGTAGGGGGTCTGTTATTTGCCCTTGAAGAAGGCGCTAGTTTCGTTTATCAAAGATTAACATGGACCATAGTAAGTTATTGTTCGTTTTTGTAATGTTTTTCTACCCTCAAGTTTTGCTTGTGTCAAACTGTCTGTTCGTCATTTGGTTTTCCACTAGATATTGTAGGTGGACATTAAACCTAAAGTCATGTTTGTAATAATCGCAGCGGTTATGCTCTGAATTGTCTCAACGTTTTATGAGACACTAGGCTATTCTTCAGAGAAGTAGTAAAGTTCATTATTTTAGGTAGATAGATTCGAAAATGGTCCTATATTTAACATGTCCTGTCACGTCTATGTGTTGGTTTTGTATGTATCTAAAGTGTGATTCATTCGATGCAAGTATGTTCAAAATTTGCTACATGTTGGCCCATATTAATGTACTTCGTTATTAAAACCCAATGAACAAAAAAACCTTTGTTCACGGCTGTAGTCATATCAATGTTCTGTTCATCTCAAAACTCAAAGGACATTTAGGAAAAATAGCTCGTCAGTGTTGGTTCAAAAGTAGTCGGATTTTGTGTTGTCAAGTTAATGTCAAATAACTGGACACAAATTCAAATAAAACAAGCATTTAAACAATCGAGGTTGCTCTCTCAATTCCCGTGTCACTAGAGGTTAAATCAAATCAGGTGTCGAAAACATTTTCACTTATTGATTAACTGTTACCGTCATGAAGCTAACCTCAATCCACACTATTCAACCTAGGGTCCGCCCATATGTGTAGGGCTTCATGTATTAATATTTCTTTCTCAACAAACCCTACCAAATAATTTTGGTTGGATCGAAGTCTACTTGACGCCATTTTACTATTGAATACACTGTTATCGTTGATTTGTTCCCAAGCTTTCTGTAGTCTTCTAAGAATTTAGAAGTATTTCCTAAACATTGTCTATGTCTACTTTGTTGTTTAACTAGCTGCCCGGACGTTTTGTTCAGTGTGCAGCACGACACTCATAACATTTAAATTCGTACACACGTTCTGTGTTCATCATTTGGAACCACATTCTTGACTTTCACGAAAACAGGTCTGATTGTATCACTGGCACACAAATAAACCTTTAGATCTTGTTTGACATTCTTATAATTATCTTTGTTCAGTGTTTTTTTTCAGTGAAGATTGACAATATTCATGTTGTACCGTAATACTGAAAAGTAAACATTTTTTTATACGGTGGCGTGCTGCCTGACTCAGACTACTGTACTTTGATCTCAGACCTGTGAAACAATCAGTCCAATATCATCAGGTTTCTTAGAAGGGATATTCATCACCGGAGTTATATGTCGCCTATAAATCTCTAGCACCCCGTGTTGTGATTTTAAGGCCGGCTAGTTATCACGTGATTTATCCGCCAATTGAAATACGACTTAGTATTGTGTTAAACCAATGACGTTCGACCGGTATGAGCAGCCTAGCATCCTTATTGGTCCTTTGTTCGCCTAACCCATCCATTGAGTCTAAAACACCAATAACAGCTCACATTATGCGAATCATTTATTTCAAACATACTTGGTTTATATACCAGCCAAACAGACCGCATTACACCATAAAATAGGAAATGACATTTATACAAAATCAAACCAAAAAGTGGCTATGAACGTGGGAGACAGTAGTCAATAAACTGAACATAACTTAAAAACAGTAAATCGTACAATAATAATTTATAGGTCGAAATGAAGCTTATTATAAGAGGAATATAGATATACATAGTCTAGCTACTGAATAGTTATACAATAACTATATATATATAATATTAGTCTATTAATAGTTCTCGGAAGTTACTCGTAATTTAATCTTCACTAGGATACAACACTCCGATTTAAATACAGTTGTTTTCCTCGTCGCTTGAATTCGCCTACCTTTCACTTTTAAACATTTCTCTAACTTCATGTCGACTGATAACACTAAAGATACAAGCTCACTAGATGCTGTCTTATGTCTTATATAACCGTACTGCAAATTGATTGTTCGTGCTCCCATTTATCTCATATCAAATCAGACAACAGATCACTGAGGTTTATTCCAACAAGCTTGAAATATGAGTAGAAATAAGAGTAATCTTACAAAGGTCTACAAAATGAGCGTGAGCGCTAGTGAAAAATAAGCAAAATATATGGTAAATTCACCAATATCATGTTAATTTGTGAATTAAAGTAATAACCAACTTAGCGAGAGTTAGGACAGAAGGACCTGGCTTTAATTCTGATGTTATTTCAGGATGTTGGTCCTGCATTACCCGTTATGTTATCTACGGGGTACATTTAAAGTTGGGGGTACTTCCATCTGATCAGTTTGGGTTGTCGACCATCCCAGTATACAAAAGATACAAACTGAAGTGTTCAAGTCTGATTTTATGGTGTTTATCTGAAATTGTGGACAATCGGGCCATTGTTTATTCTGCAAAGTGAACTTTAAAATGTTAGTAGTTACCAGGTTAAGTTACCACAAACACGTTTCAGGCTGAATTTCCAAATGATAAAAGCTTTCATAAGAGCTCGCATTTACTATCTTACATGTTAATTGGTGATACATTTCATGCGTTATATAAAGCTGAGGATTTAATATTCGAAAAGGTAATAACTTTTCTTGATACTATAAGAATGTGTCCAATGGCATTACATAAATATATAGCGTCGCATATAAAAGCACATCTGGCTTTTATCTGTCACTTAGAAAAAAATGAATCATAAAATGGTGTTGAGTATTATGATTTTTTTTGTACACCCTCCTAGTGTTAGGATGTATATTTCGTGCTAGTTTATGTAGGTTGATTAGGAGTTTTATTGCAAGTTCATAATAGCATTGTACCAATAAAAATTTGCTCTTGTAGCTCTTCGCATCAATGGTTTCGATGTTTACTTTGGCTCTGTTCAAATCACTGACTCGTACCCATGTGTTCAAATTTACTCCTGGTGGTCTTGTAAGCTTCGGTACCATAGAAGTAAGTTATATCCCTTGATTTACTTAATAGTCACATTTATTTATGATATATACCGCGTAACAATCATTACTTGTCTGTTTGCCTGACTTTCTGATAATATCAAGCGAAATATTATCATTGTTATGTTTTCACTTGTATTCAGAATCGATCACAATGGCGTCGGTGTATACACTTTCTGTCTTCCCTTAAACTAAGAGATTAAAATCACTTCATATCTTTCTTTCTACGAACTAATTCTTTCTTCCTGTGCTATATCCTTAATGCAATCTTTCTTTTATATATTACCACCTCTGAATTAACTACTTTTATGAATCCGGTGTCCATCTTGTTGTGTTAATGAGGTATGGCAACTTGGACCGATGCATAAATGTGCCTGGTCCTACGTTGTAGCTGACTGACTGACTGTGTTCATTGTCTTATTAACTAAAAAAAATTACTAGCCAATTCTATCTTTTAAATCTAATGGTCAATGCACTCCATGAAGTTCTTTTCAATGAAATATTTTTGAAAGTGAATACTTGTTTCGCTCATCACAATAGAAGTGATCCATTATAGTATAGATTTATCGTTTATTATCAATCATTTCATCTTGTCCAAAAAATTGTTCTACGTATTGGATTTCGTGTCTAGAATCCGAACCGTCACATGTTATTTTTCATTGCTTCTAAAGGTTCAAAGCTAATGTAGTTGGCTAATTATTGTTCACATTCATGTGTCATTTATACTGTGGTATTTTCTTTCCATATAACTAATGTTGTCTGTTTTTATTTGTTTTGTGCCTTCTTGGTTTAGTCATTAAACGATTACAATGCCTATGAAATTCTTATGTTTTTGCTAATGGGTCTAATTGGTGGATTATCTGGAGCATTGTTTGTGAAAGCGAATTCAGTCCTAACAAGATATAGACAAAAGTAAGCAAAAATATGTAAGCAATTCATTACTTCGCTTAAAGTTGTTCAGGCATGAAAATGGCTTATAACTTTAACGTTACAACGGGTAATCCTTTTCTAGTAGGACTGTCACTTCCAATTTTTGCAATATGACTGAAATTTCTAGCAAAATACTATCTTCAACTGTAGAAACCGTTAATAATACATAAAATTGTTCAGTGGTCATAAAATTTTTTTATATTAGTTGTTCGATCCGACATTACATTTTCGTGTATATCATGTTTGGAAACATTTGGGACTGAATAATCTCCTTCCCTTTGTTTCAGGAACATTACAACAAAATATAACAAGATTATAGAAGCCATTCTGGTCAGTTCGTTAACTACCACTTTGTGTTTTTCAATAATGTGGGCTGTTCGTGATTGTAGTCCATTAGCATATACTAGCAGTTCTTTCCCTCTCAAAGTACGTTTTACTCTTGTTGATTCAGTCATTAATTTATTGTTTTATTAAAGATATTCGATTGATATAAATTTGATTCTTACACATTAATATATTTTCACTATTTGTGATGGTTAAGTGGAGATCGTTTAATATTTGTTAATTCTGTGAATTCAAATCAAACCGGATGGTACTAAAACTTATGCTAATACTGAGTTATGTTACAAATTGGTTGATATTGGTTATGACAGTGTTTTGTCCAGTTTTAGTGGTTTTAGAGATTTCACTATGAAGTTGAGCACTTTGATATACAAGGAGAAGTAAATATAAATTACTTTAGGTACTCTTTGTGTATCGAGGTTTATTTCCCTGACATTGACCTATGATAATGACCAGGCGTAGTTATTGTTAATTAGCTCTTATTAATTCTTACTTTTAAAATCCATTCCATGAAAATAGTTCAGATTGTATATTTGTCTTAAGGCCTCTATCGTACAAGGTAATTAAACAATCGTATTTCTTTTATCAGAATTTGTTATAATGGGGATAGTTACTGTATTAAATTTATTCAGTCTTTTACAGATGATGATATAACTACGGAACACCCTTCTGTCCACATATACTGGACATTCAAGATTTCTATGAATTACTGAGCATACGCGTCCGTCTAGTGTTTCAGAAGTTTCTTCCATGTCCCCATACCCAAGGACAACAATCTATCAAAGTATCAATGATACTTTTTTGCACGAAGCACTAGATAAAATGCAACACTGGTTGACTAAAATAATTATTCACATTCATACTGTTAGACTAGATGGTTTGATTTATGTGAGAAACAAGTGGCAGGAGGTATAAACATTTACTATTTATCAAAATGTTCCGGCCAATCGTAGCTAAGATTCATTCAGGGATTAATTTTACTACCAACTAAGTGATCCTAACTGAGGATGAAAAACGGTTATCGCGGTAATAACTGTGGCTTGAACACATGTTAAGATTCTAGAGTCAACAAAGTCATTTATATGATCATCCGACTTCACACTAACGATGTTGCCGCCAAACTGATGTTACTCGACTTAATGAGACATAGAAAACTAATTCTTAAATGGAAGTTTATTTCACACCCAAACACTAGGTTAACTATATTACAGCTTAGTTTTTGAGCGTTGACAATGCACTGACAAATCCAAATCAAACTACTATGAACAATTTTGTTATAAGTAATAATTTCATATCACAATATTACATGTTTTCGCTTGGCGTTTATTTATAAGTCTAGAAAATATGATTACTACCATATTTGTTATTAGTTAAAATTGTAAACACATCAACACTCAATAAATTCTATTTTTCGACATATTAATTTCTTGACTAATCATATGAGGTTCATTAATTTTCCCTATATACTTTCCGTATAAAACAGATGATGTGTGCGGACAACGAGTTTAATTCAATTTCCTCACTGTTATTTTCAACACCTGAACGTTCTCTCCGAACTCTGCTTCACGATCCTCCAATGACATACAGTATTTCAGTGTTAACCATATTTGTACTCGTATACTATTTCTTGGCCTGCATTACATATGGTTTGTCTGTTCCTACTGGTCTATTCATACCATCTTTGTTGATTGGTGCTGGCTGGGGTCGAATCATAGGTTAGTGGTTATTTCATAAATTTCTACTTTATACATGAAATTGATACAACTAGTACATCACCTATAAAGTATATCCCACCGTGTCCTTGACATGGAAAGATTTTGTACTAGGAAGTAATAAGCAAGGTAAAGCATATTTTAAATCCCGAAACGAACCATACTGTGTAAACAGTTAACGCACCATAGTATGGGGGAGGGTAGCACGTATATGATGTACTCTTGTAAACCATATCCATTTAAGCTAATGATTATAACTGTTCCTAAGATTCTAATATACTAAGTTAATACTATATCGTTTTGGGAATGCGCTGTGTCAGCAAAACGCTTTAATCATTTCATTTTGAACAACTCACGAGATCATTTTGTTGTTTTACGCTTGGATAATACAACCGAGCATATACTATTGACATGAGAATGGATTTAACCTTATTTATAGGTCAAGTGACGGCGCTTCAACGATGACATAACCGTGCTTAACTAAAAAAGAGATTTAAAGCAATTAGTCCCTTTGATAAATTTCGGTAGTGTAATAAGATGAAACTTATCAGAACTATGTGATATATTAGCGCAATACTTTTCGAACAATCTGATCACATATATACTTGTTAAGAACATTTATATATAGAAATAAAAGATCGAATTCGAATCAAATTTGTTAACCTGAATTAATTAGTTTTTATTAATTATTTTACTGTACAAACTAGTAGTTCTTTTTATCCATTTTTATAATTATTTTAGGACATTTAATGCATACTATTGATCCAGTTCATTTCTCCGATCCCGGTAAATTCGCACTGATTGGAGCTGCTGCACAATTAGGTGGTATTGTTCGAACGACATTAAGTTTAACAGTTATTCTAATGGAGGCAACAGGCAACGTAATTGTTGGATTACCTTTGCTAATGACTTTGACTGTTGCTAAGTATATGGGTGATTGTTTAAGCGAAGTAAGTTGTAAAGCTTTTCTATAAATTGATCGATTTGTAGTCGTAGTCCAGTATTGTTTTTTATTATTTTAATCGGGTCGTTTTTGTGTTGACTTTCAACTTATTACAGGGGATTTATGATGAACATATTGGATTGAATAGTATGGCTTTACTTCCGTGGACACCGCATTCTTTATCTATAACTAAGAGAGCTTATGACCTGATGTCTAATCCAGTTGTGTTTTTATATCCTATTATGCGTGTTAGTGAATTAGTTGAACGGGTTACAAATAATTTACATCATGGATTTCCAGTTGTAGTGGGTTCCACAGATTCATCAAGATTTTCATATGGTACTTTAGTTGGGATGATTTCTTCGGAGCATTTAGCACTACTGTTGCAAAAACGGGTATGTTACCTTTTCTTGTTGTGATTTTATTTTTCTATTACCAAAGTTACCTTGGTTATTGTTGTTTTTGTTCGTTCGAGTTATTGATTTAAGTTGGCGTGGAATATAATCCAGAATCAATATGATACAACAACTTTTATTAACTTTTTTAAGGCGTCTTATTTTCCGTCCATCAAAGGTTTTATTCGCGGAAGCCAATTGTTTGTTGTTCTTGTTTGAAGCTTGTAACAATTTAGTCAGACAGATAGGACAATATCTTTAATAAACTAAGGGTTCACATTCGCTTTACCTTACAATGTCACTGAAAGAGAAATGCTTCTAAATTTAGTATTACATAGGATCTTAAAGTTCTGACGAAAACCTCATTTTCACATTATTAGATTAATGAAAAGTGTTTACATCATTTGTTGGGGATTAGTGGGAGAAGTACACGGACTTTTTGGAGACTAGGAGATAGGTTCTTAAATCACCATGTACAAAACACTAGTAATTTTCTAAAGAGAGATTCTATCAGCCTTGTGGGTTGCTAAGTCATTTCAGCCAATGTTTTCTTAAAATATACTTTCGTACATCCAAATGTTAGTAATTTGAAGACCTATTCACTACTTCCTCGTCATCGGGGTGTTGTTTACGAAGTCAAGAGAACGGAAACTCAATACCCGAAACTTGGACCGGGTTGGTGGATATGGAATATCCATCTAGAGTTATTGGTTGCAAAACCATGATTACAAAACAATAGTGCACATTGGCTCCAGGATCCCGACGGAACAAGTGGAGTACCAATCTATTGTCAGTCACTGGTTACCATGAAACTGCATCTCCTAACGTTGCTCCACTGTCTTGTAGATTAGACCTTCAGGTCAAAGACTCGAGGTGTAGCCCCCTAAGCAGACCACCAGCTTTGGTTTGGTCGCCCGGGCAGTATCCAGCCTTCACAGAAATTGAGTGATGAAGTGTGTTATTAGTTGGAGTTTGATAGATAAACTGGTGAGAAAATACGGTTCGGTAGTAGCATACAGGTTCATTCAGTAACATTTATTTATTTAAACACATAACCATTGGTACAAGGGGGCCCCAAATTTATATGCACCACATTTCGTCATTCTATTCGTGTGAGGACTGGAACACTACATGGGAAATCAAACCGAAGCAGGTGATCATATTAGGAGGCCACTTCTCGAACTTTTGACCTGAAGGTCTAATCTACAAGACAGTGGAGCAACGTTAGGAGATGCAGTTTCATGGTAACCAGTGACTGACAATAGATTGGTACTCCACTTGTTCCGTCGGGATCCTGGAGCCAATGTGCACTATTGTTTTGTAATCATGGTTTTGCAACCAATAACTCTAGATGGATATTCCATATCCACCAACCCGGTCCAAGTTTCGGGTATTGAGTTTCCGTTCTCTTGACTTCGCAAAGAACCTCCCTTCTGCGAGGTGTGAGTAGGATTTCCTTGTGAGTGGTTGTATACTGGTGGCCATATGAAATTATTTGTAGATGGAGGACGGTTTTTCCTCACCTTTGTCCGTACCAGTGCATTCAGGGACTCATTCAGTAGACTTTGAGCTACTTTATTTGTTAGTGTGACTGAATACGCTCTTACTACTAAAACTAAGGCGAGTTTTCGGATTTCATATCAAATTACTTAGATAATTGTTTAAATATATAAGCCACAGTTTCATAACTTGGTAAGTTTTCTAATGCATATTTTTCTGAATACAAAATATCACAATTTTTTTTGTAAATTCATTTGATTTTCTTCAACTCACAACTTTCGTGTATTTAGGCATTTTTATCTAAAGATGGTAATATCGTATATTCATTGACCTATAAAGATTATGATGATGCTTATCCATCCTATCCAAAGTTAGGTGTAAGTCAACATATTTTAAAATTTAATTCTTTTTAATGAGATTGTCTATTTTGTTTATCGAATGTGATCAAAGTCTCAGAGTATGCTCATACATTTAAATGATTTAGTTTATGATAGTTTGATTGTTGTTCTATGGAAATGAACGTATTTATTTGGTTCATAGGAATCAGTTTAATTTCAAGATAGCTTCTTTTTGGAGAATCATCTTAAAACTGCATTCATTCGATAGATGTTTTGCTTTAGGCTGTGTCAATGTTCGGAGATATAGGCCATTAGATGAAAATTCATTAGTGTATAGATATCGTTGGACATAAAGGTTTCAAAACTGGCCGTTTGTGTTGTCATGAATCCTCACAACTGATTAGTTCGAGACTAGGATAAAACGACTTTTCAATGCTGCATATTTTTCAGTGACCCTCCGCTAGATCTGAGCCCCCAAATGCCCTTGTACGGCCGAGAGTGGGGAGAGTTAACAGGATCGTTGTTTACGAAATTGAGAGGACGAAAGGCGAATGTCCGGCGCTTTAACCCGCTTGGTGGATATGGAGGATACACCTAGGAGAGTTAGTTGGAAAACCCTGATTACAAAACAATGGTGCAGATGGGCTCCAGGATCCCGACGGAACAAACGGAGTATGGACCAATTATTGGTCACCGGCTACCATGTGTCTGCGTCTCCTAACGTTGCTCGACTGCCTTGTGGATCAGACCTCTAGGTCAAAGGCTCCGGGTGTGGCCCCCCCCCAAGAAAACCACCATCTTCGGTTTGGGCACCCGAGCAGTATCTCAGTTTTCACACAAATCAAATGACGAGATGTGACACACATATATTTGGTGCCTCCTTATACCAATGTTTATGTGTTTAAATAAATAAATAATAAATAAGATCCGAGGAAAATACTACTACAATTCAAGGATATGTTAGATAGGTGTTTCATATTATTTTCCGATTCTCAGATCACAGATGACATCGGTCGGTCTTAATGTTCTTTTGACAATCTTCAGCCTGCCTTGCATGAATCAAACAGTTTTTATCACTTTTTTAGGTATTCCAAAACTTCGGGGAATTAGTACGATTTCATGCACATTTTTTGACCATATTTGCATCTGTCCTTAATTTATTTGAAATAATAAATGCTACTCCACTTTTAAAAACTACGAAGTTCCATTTCTAAAGTAGGGTAATAATTGATGATAAAGTAATTGCTGCCGAACATAATTTTAGACAAGTCTATCACACTTATGTAGCTATTCGACAACCGATCTCTCTCGTAACCATTACTACACAAAATATTGGTAATGAATGCCTCCCACTGTGCTCACTTTCATTCATTGTTGTTTGTTGGCTTAGTAGTATAAAGGGAACCTCACAATTGCATAAGTAAAATAATATTCATACTGAAAGTCACTAACCATTGATTTTGATGTAGTGCATAATGTATGGTAGTTTCATGAATCTCCAACTTTCTCTATAGGAAGTGACATTACCTATCTGCACAGATCCAATTAGATTAAGTTTTCTTAAATTCTCAATCTCGTAGATGAAATGTAAGTCACTATCGTTAAGCCGAAACCTTGCTGAAATAGAATTCTCTAGGTCAGTAACTGATTGAGCTTCATATACCCTCGGTTTCAAACTGTACATTTTTATTGATCATTGTTGATGCTACTCGACTGTTTAGAATGAATTTGGTTGAACAAGTTTGGGACCGGTGTGTAAAAGCTTTAACCTCTAACCATTGTTTTACTACTGAATTCAAAATATCTCGCTCTTTTAACATTGTTTAAATATCTTAGATCGTGTAAATAATAAGAAAATGCAAAAATAACAATAACAATATACACGTTTTAAATTTTTTTAAACTGTGAGGCTTGTTCAGAATCCTGATGTTCTACGTCGGATTTTTGTGTCTTCTTTTTGATTTACCTAGGATGTTTTAGCTAATTTGTCATGTGATGATATGGACGCCTACTTAGACTTGAGGCCATACATGTGTGAAGCGCCATACAGTGTCCCAGAGGTAAATATTTTTTCTTCTAAAAAAGTAATTGTGAAATCTCATCTTCCTGTAAACATTTTGATTAAAATTGTCCACATGTTTTTTGTAAAATGATGAAGTGTTGTGTTCCACTACGAAAATGTACAATGTTCTGTTAGTTTGTGTGAGATCACAATTTTAATTAAAAGTATTCACATTATCACTGTAAATAGACTTCGCTACAAAATGAGCCTTATCCGTAGGCTGAAAGTCTAGTCAATCAAACCTTGATCATTATAAACAATGGATTTAGGTTCCCACATGGATTATTTTAGCCTCTGGACAAACCAATTTGCTTGTTCTTCAGTCACATTTTGACCTTGTTAACCTTGACTGTTTTTATATGATGGTATTCATGTATCGCCTACCCTATTCATCACATGTCTTTAAATACCTTTGCGCTTTATCAGATGGTGTTGCCACACTTGCCTTCGCTTTGCTTTCCAGCTTTCCGTTCTGAATGTCTGTCGGTGTAAGTGAGTGCCTGAAGTAAATCGGTTCAACTTAACAGTTAACTGGCTTCTTATTACTGCCGTCGCACAAGCGTGGTTAATTTGAGTGTACTATAGGGTATTAAATTGATGCATATTCATTCGTTCTTTAAATTAGAGTCAGATCAGCGGACCACTAAAAATATTTGATATAAAGCTTTCTTCATTTGATCATGTAGATAAATTTTGTTGACGAATTTCAATCACGTATAGGTAATAATTATTTCTCCTATAATTTGGAAGATTTTTATTTTATGCTTGCGTTAGGTATAAACTTTGCGTTCTCTGAGCTTTGATATTATCGATCATACATGTGGATAAGGCTGATGACCTCATCTACGTCTGCTTTTTTATTGTTTAGAATGGCGTATGTTTGAACACGGGACACGGAGCTGTAATGTTCGAAGATTGTCATTTTTAAATATTAACTTTGAGTCATGTTTAACTAAAGTAAACTCAAAAAGGATTTTTCAAACCGTAATTTCGGAAGTTTCAAACCACGATAATTCAGTTTTGGCACATTAAAAGTCGCTTCCTAGTGATCCCTTTTTAACTTTACACCAAATCACTCTGTAAATGCTAGTGGATCCCTATTGTGTCATCATCAGTAGTAAAAGAAAAGGTATTCCTTAGTGTTCATTTGTCCCATTTGTAGTGTTTGAGGTACTGAATAATACAGAAGATAATGAGTATCTGGTTTATAATTCATTGAAAGTTGGCGAATAAATCACACAATAGTTGTATCGTGTATAATAAGCAAACTGTTTGTAAAGTACAGATGAATAAAGCTATTTTGATGAGAAATTCGATTTATGATTTTATAGTATTAAAAGAATTACCTACAGTGACTTTTTGTCTGTCTTTTTTTAATATCTGAATAGAAATTAAATTCCGAGTAGTGATTATAATCAATTAAATGTAGTCTAACATAATACATGGTAAAAGTGTATTTTTCAAAAATTGGCACTGTATTTTTCATGATCATAGCTATCTGTTTCTTGTGACTTTCCACCTCACTATAACCCCCTTATAAGTAATGCAGAATGATAATTATTAACATCTTTGTATAATTTCTAAAATTATTTCATTAATTGCATGGTTTTTGTCAATCCAATGTGATGGTGACGTACTCACTTTATACTTAGCAATAAGTTTTTAATCCTACGTAATTATTCACGTAATTCCCATGTGGTGGATATGTCTTTAAGTTTAAATACAATTTGTTAGTTGACTAGGATTTCCTCTTTGTTTAGTATATAATAAATTGTATTGTTTTTAAAGTAATTTGTGTGTAGACTTCAGAATACCTCGGTGTTGGATATCGGGAGTTGTTAAGATAAGTAATCAATGATTGATTAAGAATATGATTTTGAAACATAATGTGATAATATTTTCATTTAGTTTTGTCAGTGTTGTGGCGGTATTTGAAGAATAAGTTATTATAGTTGTCATTTTACAGTTAAGATGCTAACTATTTCCAAATCCCTATAAGCAATCCCGCAGTATATTGGTTCCTGTGAGAATTTCAACCGATCATTGGATCTTTTGATTAAAGATGATTGTTTTCAATTATTAAGATTTTTATTTTAAGACTGAGTACATCAAATTCATAAGAGACTTGCTTGCATTGAATAAATGTAAGCTACTACTTTTTCCTGAGTTTTTGTATGCCATTCCTTTTTTATCAGAAACTGTTATGTCCTTATGTCCGATTAATTATATCGCGTGATATGACCTCCGATTGGAGACATCGACCAGACTAATGACAAAGAAATCAGTTCAATCAGTTCAGCGTCAATGCTGAGTTCTAATTGGACCACCGAGATGGTAGCTTCTCTCTTATCTTAGCCGGTTTATTTTAGAACACCAATATCAGCTTCCGTTATACGAATCATATATTTCAGACATACTGGGTTCATACTCAAACAAATCAGATCTCATCATACCATAAAAAAGAAAATAACAATTATACATGATCAGGCCAAAAATTGGCTGTGATTGTGAGAGACTGTTACTAATAAATTGGGAATGTCTTGAGAATAGTATATCGTATAATAATAGTCAATAGATCAAATAAGAGCTTATGATAAAAGGAATATAAATACACATATAATATTAGTCCATAAATAATTCCTATCGGTCACCATTCATTTATTCTTCGTTCTCATCCAACAGAAACTGTCTGTTTTCTATTTTAAAAAATTAACAATAACACCTTGGACACTGTTCTTAAACTAGTATTTTAACAAAATTACTACGTTTACTCTGATTGATATCTTTATATTCGACAACCATAATTCACAGTCAGAATAACAAAGTATTCATATGACTTTTATGTTTTTCTACTTCAAAATCTGTTGAATAATTCATGTTGATGAATGATGAACGTCCTGGTCTTTCATTGTTATATTTATTCAACGGAATTTATCTTATTATGTCATATTGCTCAATAATCATCTAATTTCTACTACAATTTTACCACGTGAAACATTATCTTCTCTTATTTTAGACTATGACAATGACTCGTGTTTACCATCTTTTCCGTTTATTGGGTCTCCGGCATCTACCGGTTGTTGATAGTCAAAATCAAGTATATTACTAATGTTCTGCTTTTTTTGCTTTGTGTATATATTGAAATCGTACTTATAATTACAGTTTGACAATGTCATGAATATTGTGTATGTGATTTTATTGAATAGTTATTTTTGTGACAAATGACTGACAAGGTTATAAAAACGTGTTTTGTCTATGTCGTCTCTGTTGTGTCCACCGTCCTACTGTTCATACATGGAAACGGTAACCACTGTAATTCCCATGAAGCACGAAAGAATCCGAAAGACTTGTAAAAATGAGGATTTATTGGCTCTCCAGAATCACCTCGTCATTAGACCAAAGCGCACTCATTTCTATAATAATTTCTTCACAATAATATAACATATGGGGGAATATTAATAGAGTTACTGGGAAATATAGTGAATATAGTTCACTTGAATTAATATAGGGAATATAAATATCTCACTGAATGAAGGTTCACATGTGTCATGTTGAAGTAAGTTTATACTGGATTAATGACAACAAGATTGAAATAAATTGATGTCATCTTTCTGTCCCGCTACATAAAACAATGGAAACTAGCCTAACATGAATCTTGTCAGTTCAAAGTGCCTTATGTTTTAGTGACTAAATTCTGCGGAAGAAAGTCAATAGTATGGGATAAAATAATCCAACATTAACTACATAAAATGTTCTGACTGTCGATTTTCCCAGTCAATGGATCGTTACTAATCAAATCTTTATTAAATTATGTTACCGGAATTTTCAAAACACTAAGTTCTCTTGTTTCGAAGATAATCATACTGATAGTTCCCTGCGAAGCTCAGATCACTAGTGGATAATTTGGTAATCTTCTGATTTTGGTTTTATCCATTCACTAACTCTTTTACATGTACCAGACTACAATCGTATACAGTTACTAAATAAAACTATCATGAAAAGTCCAAATCTATTTGATGTAATTTTTAACAGCAACTGTTCAGAAAATGTTGTCTAAGTATGTTCATTGTTCTAAATTATGTGATCTTAGTTAACAAATAATGTGGATCTTTACATAGCTGGAAAACCGTTTAAGCATTTTAAGTGATTTTGGTTCGTGGTGAAAACCCCAAATCTAATTCCTATTCCTAACCAACAACTGCAAATCATAATTGCATTTCCTCATATTGATCTACAGTTCTCATTTAGTTCTAGTTAGTAGGTGAACATTCTCAAGGTCACTAAAACGTCTCTCAAAGGTTGTCCATAAATTATAGTCTCATCGTAGGTATCATTACCAAGGTTTGATTTGATAATTTCAAATAAATTGAGTAGATTGTTATAAATAAAATAATATATTTGTAATATCCCAATGAGTAGAAAAATTAGATTTTCTGACATTTCGTGACTTAGTGTAAACCACTTCTTCAGAGAATAAATAAATAACCAAATTAAAATTAATCCAAGCTTAAATAGTACAACGGAACAATAGGACTGTGAAGAAGTGGCTTACACTAAGTCACAAGACGTAAGAAAATCTAATTTTTCTACTCATTGGGATATTACAAATATATTAATTTATTTATAGTCTCACCGATATTGTTAAGGTATAACTGTCACATTTATTATTTATAAATGAACTTAGACTTACTTTGATAAATTTATTAATTTCTACTTTATTTTCAGGTTCGTGGAATCATTACACGGAAAGATTTAAGACGTTTCAAATTCGAATTTGTTAGCGGTGAATATCGTGTAGAAGAGTTGATTTTTTCACGTAAAATGTGATCACTACTTAAGATCTTTTCCCTTTTCTTCTTTTTTTTTTAAACAAACAAATAAACATGATTTTAATTATTTTCTTTGGATCTGTTATCAACATTGTATATTTATGCTCATCATCAGTATTAACTAACCTGTTCTGATTCTATATTATTGTGAATAAAACATTTATTGGATTCACTAACTGACTAATAATAATAATAATTATCATTATTATTATTATTATTTTCACGTTATTTACTTTTGTATGTTTACCTAATGAATATTATCCTGTTATTATTATTTTGTTTACGGTGATTTATTCATGAATTCTTAATTTTATTATTATTAGCCATTTCTTTTGTATAATTGTATACTTTCAAATTAATGAAATGAATTATTACATCGTTTATATATTCCCCTCCGAGCACTACCATATTAATACTGAAATCACGAATGTAAAATTATGTATACATATTAAGTAAATAAATTTTATGATTATTATTATTTTTTTAACGGTGTTAATATCTTTGGAAATTTTCAGGTTGGGTTTGAATAAATCCAGTGAACTTTGAATCAATTTACTAAGAACATAAAAAACAGATTATATAAGAACCATTATTTTTCAAAATCCAATTACGAAAAAAACTCAAAAGTTCATGCTTACTATAGAAAGTTATTAAATGATTATTTTTGTGTGTGAAGAGAATCCATGATTAGTGAGTAGGATTTCATTGTGAGTGGCCATGTGAGAGTATTCGTAGATGGAGGACAGACGTTCCTCACCCTCATCCATTTCAGGGACTTTGCTTGTCAAACGTAAGTATAAATTGGCTCTCATAAGTATTAAATCCCTGATTCTTTTTAAATATCATTTGCATTTTGGCGAACTATTAATTCAACAAGTAATTTCGAATGACTCAATTGATAGATTTGATTGGTATATTAAACAGCATTATCGGGTTAAATGTTTGACATATTACATTATTAACTGTATTAATATTTAATGAGAAATATAGTTGTTAAAAACTTGATAAAGTTATCAGTTGCATGGGTTTCTCACTCTTTATATTCAATTTTTAAATTAGTGCACTATGTATACGGGCCTCCTGAATAAGTTCCTCATTATCACTTGTATATAAAGTTTGACTATCGTGATGTAGTCGTCTAGTGGACAACTTTCTAGTGTTTAAGGTAATAAGTACTAGATTAACATCACGGTGTGAGTATCAAATCTATGATATAAGTACACTCAACTGACAAGTCATAAATAAGACAAAAAGTTTATATTAAATCCTACCAGTATTATCTTATCCTATCAGTATTATCTTTACAAAACAGTTAGTGTGGAAATTTTTTCTTTTTTGTGCCTAATGTGTATAATTATGTTGAAAATTCTAGACTAATCTCCAAATTGTGCTACTCTCTAGTTATATCTCTGCAATCATCCCAAGATTCACATATATCAGTAGTGATTGATCAATTTCAATGAGCTACGGGGAAAAAACACACAAATCTACAAATATTTTACACAGTGTTTCATTTCTAATAGATCATGCAGAAATATGTAATAATACTGATTATTGACTTTGTCATATTAAATAATTGAATATGTTATTAAAATAACTATTGTGACATGGTATATATGTACATATATGTATACGTATTAATATGCTTAGGTAGATTATATCAGTAATAGCAAAACTACTAACAGCACTTGACAACTTGTGAAATCTAATTTTGTTTATTATTGTGATATAACGAAGGTCATATATACATAAACTATGAATTTATTAGATTTACTACAATCATTCATTGTCTGTTATTTATAAATTACAGAATAATATTTGACAACATGTGTTATTATTATTGTTATAAAAATATATACGCTATTGAATAGTTTGTTACAATTTGAGTGGGGTTGGTTACAATTTAATGGTTGAAGTTGAGATATGATTACAGATAAGTATGTAGAAATAACATAAATTATTCACAAATTTCAAAGGTTATGATTTATTTTATAGATGCTTCATTATAATTACTGCTATTGGCCCATGTGAACAAGGGTTAGATACTATTCACCCGGAAAAAGATGACCAAGAAACACATTGCTCCGAGAATTGGAGGCAGACATCAAATTGATGAATAGCGACTAGAAATTATTGCTTAGGACAGATTTGGATGGAGGATGCTAATGGGTGGCCTATGCTTCTCCAAGAGAGGTAACAGGCATAAGCATGTACTCATATTAGAGAATTGAAAAAAATACTTTTACCAAATGTATCATATTCTGAGAGCTTTCGGAGTGTGATTGTGTCACGTATTGAATTGCGTTCGAATCCAGTGAGTGGCGTCGTGGATGCGCACTGCTGAGGAGTCCCACAATAGGACGGAACGGCTGTCCAGCTTTTCGATGGTGATCTAATATCAATCGGTTCATGATCTCAATAAAAAAAATCATTTGTTGCATATGGATTCTGTAGACGTTCTGGATTAATTTAGTTTATTATGATGAAAAGAATGTATTTCATGCCTGAATGTGTTTATTTAATAAAAACATATAACGAATTGTTTAAAATATTTTATCTCACTCTCGTATAATACGTTGATACAATAATAAGTCTAAACAGGTTAAATATAAACCAGGATTAACGACTCAGAATAGAGAAGCAGATTAACATTATTATTCTTGCATTGTTCCGTTGTACTATTTAAACTTGGATTAATTTTAATTTGGTTATTTATTCTCTGATGAAGTGACTTACACTAAGTCACGAAACGTCAGAAATCCTAATTTTCTACTCATTGGGATATTACAAATATATTATTTTTACTTTAACATTAGATAATCCAATGAAGTTACAAGCAGTCAAACTCAGTGTATCCGAAGTAGAAATCGATTATTTTAATAGTCAGTAGGCTGCGGTTGATTTGTTCACGCTTAATGAACATTCATATTGTACTTCCACTACTACACACAAACTAAATCTAAATGCATATAGAGAATGCATAAGACTCAGATAACGGATGTGTAGTTACCTGTCATAGTTTGGATAGTGAGTAATGATATATGTTTTGTACTTTTTTAACTGATAAACTGAGTTAGGTTTCTTGCAAGTGTCGCACACTCACAGTTCAGTGTGTTACCAATAACCAATACCTATATTGGTAGTAATAGGCATTATTTCTGGTGGGTATGATACATTTAAATATTAATTATGGGTCATAATCTACTGCTGTTCGTATTTATCGTTTAAACTAATCAATCCCCGTTTATATATGTGATAATTAAATGGATTCCTTGATATTCTCTGTTTTTATAATCTGATTATGTGTTTAGATAGTGGCTAGTAGTGTGATCCATAATTCCAATTTTCGGTATCACCATTGATATGGGAGTATATCAAACTCGCCATAGGACGAAATCCTTAGGTGATTACTAAACATTTGTTTACAAAATCCTCATACTAACGGAGGTCAGTCAAATTCAGTCTTAAATCTTAAAAATAAATACATACAACAAATAATGAATTATTCATTTTTTATCAGTCATGACTGTCTGTGATTAAGGCAAGATATCTCTCATTGTTGTTGTAATCACATTCAGGTAGATGAATAACAGCTGAGAACAGGTTGATAAAGATTTCATAAAATATCCATTCAATTTATAATACACCGGTTGATAAAGATTAATTCGTCAAATTAGATAAATTCGATGGTTTGGTTTCCTGAGTTGAATTCCTTTGGCTACACATTTGGTAACGTCGAAATCAAATGGCAGAGATTCCCAGTGAGTAATCAGATCATTATTAGCTGAATGATGAACAAATATCCAGTTCAACGCCAATTATGTTTAGCAAAATATTTCATTGACGTGAAAAAGAAATATGTGTACAGAATATTAATGAAGCAAATCAAACAGTTCGAATGGAAAATATGGTTTAAAGAATATTGGTTAGTTGATTAGTTACATAACAAAAATAATTATTAACTGGTAGATAAAATTGATGAACTATATATCTGATTTCAAAAAATTTAAAAACTGTCATTAAAATTTACTTTAAACATCAGTCTTCCATTAGTAACTGTTTTTTCACTAGTGTTTTTGGATAATTCACATCACTAGTTTGTTTGTTTGAAAGTAGTTTTCATCAGTAACGGACAGGAATTGAAGAAAAAATACTGTCGGGAGCATTGGACAGAAAATGTTTATCAATGTACATTAACAACATAACACAGAATAAAAATCTGAACATTCAGGTATCATGGCAGCTGCAACTCCAACCACCTACTGAATGAAAATTGAATGATTTGCATTTTCTGACTTAATTAATTTGTAATTTAACACATTTTGTTGTTGTTGACATAATTAACAAATTATTGTCATCAACTTTTGACTTAGATAATAACTTTACATATTATGTGTTATATCTTGTAGCCTTATGCCCCATTAATATATGACGTAATGATACTGCCAATTAGAGAACAGTGATTTATCGACCGGAACAATAACACATAAAACAATCTAGAGTCCTTATCGGTCCTGCTACCTGCCTAGCTCTGCCTGTTATGTCCAGAACACTAATATCAGCCTCCGAGATTTGAATCATGTATTTTAAACATACTGGGTTTATATACAAACGAAACAGACTATATCGTACCATAAAATAAAAAAAAACATTTGTACAAATTTAGTCAAACGTGGCTGTGAATGTGGGAGATAGTAATTGATAGACTGGGCAGAACTCAAGAATGGTAAATTGTATATTAATAGTTTCATACTTCAAAATAAAGCTTATGATAAGAGGTACACGAATATGTATAGTTTAGTGGGTATATATATATATATATATATATATATATATATATATATATATATATATATATATATATATATATAGTATTAGTCTACAAATAGTTCTCAAAAGTTACCATTCATAATTCTCATCGGGATATAACATTATGGTTTCTCAATTTCTTAGAGAAATGTAATTCAAAGTTCATCTCCTGTAGGTAAATAATTATTATAAATGTTAAGTTGGTATGTCAATTCACAATAGTTTACGAAACAAAAATGTAGGTACTTTTAAACTGTACAAAGTCCGCAGCAATTAATATGGTATATTTATTTTGGTATTTAAATTTTAATTTAACATTACAATGATAATGTACATGTTTATTAAAATAATATGGTATTCGAATATTCTACTGAGAAAAGTAAATTCTCAAAACAATAATACTGAATAAATTATCTATGATAAATATCTTTTTATCATTACTTCTGAAGAAGGAAAAAGTGGACTGAAATGTTAGGACTCAAAAGTTAAGTGGACAACACAATGGCGTTTAATGCGAACGGTACTGGGTTCGATTCATGGAGTGAACATCAACGTTTTGATGCAGGTACATCCAACTGACAAGTCCAAATAGGACTGAAATGTTATTTAAAATAATTAAAGTTTGAATAAATCTAATCAAAAATCAACACACTACTAATTATGCTTGATATAAAACAGAGTTTTATGATAAAATGTATCATTAATTTTATAATAATTGAATGTAGAAGATGTTCTATGTTATGGTAACGATTCATGCTAGTATATTAGGTTAACGTTAAGAATTATTGTTCTCATGAACCAGAAAACAATTTGTTATGCCATTTGTAAAAAAAACTGTCTTAGAAATGCTTATTGGAATTTTTTAACCTTTTGTAATTTGTGATATCACCAATTTGTCCTTTCTATTAATAAAACAACTAAAGAAGATATCATTTAAAAGATGAGTTAGATCAATCATGAAAAACATTCTATTCCATTTATGTACTCAACAATGTAAATTAACAGTTAATCAGTATGATATATGAAAGACAGGATCTCCTCCTGTTATTTGTCGGCAGAAACATAATATGCATCAATGTTCAGTAGACGACAACTACAAAGAATTACAATTCTTCAAAGGGCAGCTAATAAAATCAAAATGACTTATATGAACGTATCTAAAAAAAATCTAGACACAAATTCAATTGGAGGAATCATAAAATTTCTAATCAAAAATATTCTGAGATTACAAGAGATTTCTCTTGCTAGGACTGCAGTGAACGAGAATACAAGTGGAGACAATCGAATGTATCTTAACACAAAATTACAGAATCTCTTAATAAAAATTGAGGATCTTACAGTACATACTTAATTTGCAAAATATCAATCAATTGTCTTAAACTTGACTGTTCTGTCGCAACTGTCAGTCATTCGTCTCAGACTTCACTGTTTCGTCATTTCCATACTAATCGCTTTCGGTTCCCGTTCTTTCCTTTTCTATCTTCTGCTGCCAGACGTTCTATTCTTGACTAGCTTTATATACTACTTATGCCGATATAAGTAGGACACATGACAGGACTAATTTATAATTAACAGATATATGATCCTAAATCCCATTTATCAACCGCTAAAGATAAACTCAAGCAATTGTATTCTCGGGAATAAATCTGACAAGACGGTTATTTGATGCCATTCATTTCTTAGTACTGGTTTATGTACCCCGTTAAGTGGTTGAGACATTATCCAGTCATTCAAATCGAAATAAGTTAAGCGGGATTTAAATTAATAAACTATTGACTGAAAAGTCAATATCTGAGCCACTTTTGGAAGGGTTTTATAAATCCCAAGTAAAATAAGAAAATCTATGAAGAGAAAAAACCCTATTATAATTAACGTTGTTAGAATGGACTTATATGGTACTTGAAATATTCACATCTACTTAAAATTGGGGTTAATAATGACGAAACAGATGAAAATGTAAACGTTTACATTAAATTGTCTCATTAGAAAAATGCAACATCATTAACAGTGTTTACATCAGTTACTAATTTTCTTTAATTAATCTAATTATGTAATTGAAGGATTAATCTATTTGTTATTTATATTTTGATAAATTAATTACTCAGTTCGACTTTCATGTTACAAATTCAAATAATTCAAAATTAGATTGATGGAAAATATGATTATTTAAACATCCGATATATAAATAAATTTATCTGTCAATTAATCTTGTTGTTTTAAGTGATTTCATTACTGACTATTCGTCATCATTATCGCATAGTCTAAAGTTTATGTAAAGATAGATCAATGCTTCTTATTATTATTGTTATTTAAACACACAAACATTGGTACAACGAGGCACCAAATATATATGTGCCACATCTCGTCATTTGATTTGTGTGAAAACTGAGATACTGCTCGGATGCCCAAACCGAAGCAGGTGGTCTGCTTAGTCTTTTCTTACAAACATAAATTGTTAGTACATTTATTTTTATTTGTTTGAACACATAAATATTGGTACAAGAGGGCACCAAATTCATATGCGCCGCACTTTGTGTAAAGGCCGTAATAATGCCCGGGTGCCCAGACCAAAGCAGGTGGTTTTCTTAGGGGGCCACACCCGGAGCCGTTTGTCCTAAAGGTCTGATCCACAAGGCAGTCGAGCAACGTTAGGAGACGCAGACACATGGTAGCCGGTGACCAATAATTGGTCCATACTCCGTTTGTTCCGTCGGGATCCTGGAGCCCATCTGCACCATTGTTTTGTAATCAGGGTTTTCCAACTAACTCTTCTAGGTGTATCCTCCATATCCACCAAGCGGGTTAAAGCGCCGGACATTCGCCTTTCGTCCTCTCAATTTCGTAAACAACACTCCCACTACAAGAAGTCAATGAGTAGGACTTCCTTAGCAGTGGTTGTATGCACGTGGCTATGTGAGAGCGTTTGAATTGGGGAAGTTAACTCTCCCCACTCTCGGCCATACCAGAGGATTTGAGGTCAATGCTGTATATTATTGTTATTTATAAATAAAGGAATCATATGTTGTGTATAGTGAAAACTAGATAGATTGAAACTGTTTAGTTAGAGTTAATTGATTCGATATTCATATGTATGCTTATGCAAATCTATTATCAGATATATTTAAAGAAAACATTATCATTCTGTTGATAGATGGATAAACTATGCTCTATTAAGTGATTTATAGTTGAGATAGTTAAATTTTGAGATAAACAATTAAAAAATTTCGAAGATGAAATTTTACATACGTAAATTAAGTGAAAACAATTTTTTTAATTGGAGATAATCGATAGCAAACTTTAAACTTGGGTTCAGTAATTGTTATTAATCAAGAGTATGTGTAATCCAGAGGAATAATGATAGGTAGTAAAAATTTTGTGCTTATAATAATTGTATCAGCTAGAGACGTTTCTATACAACCACATGAAATATGCACAAGTAATATAGAGAGAAATTCAAATAAAATAGTAACATGAGTCGTGAACCTATATTTACCAATATTCATTGATGCTTCACAAAGTTGAGAAAAAGATCACAGGCAAATCTTTAAAAGTTTAATTTATCAATGTACATTTTAACATTGAAGACCAGTTGCAATATTATAATTTTTATTTGTATAACGATTCACTTTGAATGACAATTTCAAAGCATCTTGGAAAGAAAAATAGGCTTTCAAATGCTAGTTTTATTTTATTAACTTGGAAATCTACATTCAAGTAAAAACATGACATCTATTAAACGATTCTTATAGGTTTTGTTCATGATATTTTGAAAAGATTTAAGAATAATTTTCAACATATGGCTTTCAGTTATAATGCGCTTCATAGTAGGCCTGATATAACTTTTATCAAATATATGATAACTAGTTAAAAAAAACAGTGGTATCATCCATGAGTTATGAGCAATATTATTACAACATTCATTTATTAGAAGAAAAGATGAATGGTGGCTAGCAGTGGAATCCAGGATGCGCGTTTCGTTATATTTGGGATTTGTCAGCTGGATGTACCTTCATTCCAGAATTGATGTTTACTCCGGAACTCGCACCCAGTAATGATGTTTGTGAATTATGGCAATATCGTGGCACTTCGCACAAGATGCACATATGGTAATAAGAGACTGATCAGTAGCAGTCTTAAATATTCATGGAAAAATTCAAACAAACAATACAAAATTCATTCATCAAGTTAAAAAGTGAATCAGTTTCTTATTGACTGAACAATCCAAATAGACTAATACAAATATAGGAAACAGTAAACGAGAATTTGATCATGTTGATCTACAAAGCTGATATGAAGTAGAGTAAGAGAGTAAACGGCTCTAATTTTTTAGTAATTTGTTTAGAATTTAGACTTAATTAACCGACTATGAGTAACTAATTCTTACAACGAAAGGGAAGATTGCTTAAATCTACAGAAGGGAAAAATAGTTAAAATTTTATCACAAATTTCATCATAAACTGATAGTAAATGAATAGGAAGATGTTATTTGCAAAACTGTGTCTTCGATTATCACTTACGTTTTCTTGAGTTAAAACTATATTTATACTAATTTTATGAAAGTATTTCCGGAGAAGACTTGCATATTTGTTTATTATCGTGAAGTTAATCAAGTCAACAATTCTTTCCATGCACTGAAATTCAGATATATTTAGTTGGGCTCTTTTAAGTCATGTTACTCTGTAGTATTGTTCTGACAACATGTGACTATAATCAGTAACAAATATATGTGTAATAATGTTATAATCGCTTTTCTAGCTTTATTAGCGGCTGCGCAACTAATTTCTACACTTATATAATACTTGAATTTGATTTAACCCTTATACCTAACTGGATAGATTTGGTTATGTGGATGATGATCTGTGAGAAGAACCTTTTAATTTAATGCAAAGATAATTGAGAGGATATACTCTTTACTATGTCAGTTATCCTACATATTCAAAGCCTAAATCTTCAAACAATTTATGAATTACGAATATGTTATTACTACTAGCTTTTTAACTTACTAATAATTTAACGATTAAGACATTTAATAGTTGAATTCATGAGTCACTTGAAGTTAGACCACCATGGAAAACCTATAAGCACTAAACGGCCGTTTCATCCTAGTGTGGGACACCTTAGCAGTGCCCATCCGCGATCCCGCCCCCCACGAGATCCGAACCCAAGACTTATCAGTCTCGCGCGCAAGCGCTTAACCTCTAAACTACTGAGCCGGCATCCAACGATGTTAATGTCTAACTGTAACTAATCCATAAAGTTGCGCCACCGTCCACCATTATTATCAGTAAGTTACCATCTCACATTTCTTCATATTCACACTTCAAGTGAAATGAATAAAAACAAAATAATTGCTTAATATTATCATTTTATTTCAATATGTATATTTCTTTAAAAATTTCGCTGATATATTGTATATATATTCTTGACAAATTCATTTTGTATTTTCTTAATCATCATAATTTTCAACTTCATTTATCCGTATCTAAAATGAAAAAAGGAAGAAATGAATATATATATATATATATATATATATATATATATATATATATATATATATATATATATATATATATATATATATATATATAAACATACTACTGTAAATAGCCAAACGAAGCTGACAAAAAATTGTATTCAGCCCTCAATAAACTTGGCCTTTTGAACACTTTGTTAGCTATTATTATGCTGTAAAGTTTTTGCTAAAGTTTTGTTCTGGTTTTATAATTTTTTTCGTGTGTAGCAGGCTGTCGTTTGAATCAGAGTTATGAAGGGGTGAATTTTTAAGATATTATAAAACATACCACTTAAAATTGTTATTCATAAGTACAATTTTCTTATATGGTTCAATTATTGAATGCTGGAGAACACAGATATGGTATGGCGGATGCAATAAGCCGATCACTGTCCAAACGTTTCTCATAACATTATCCGACTTGGCTTTTAAAAAGAGAATGTAAAACAATTGCTAGTTCGATACAGTAGCATTTAATTAATTGTGGACACATCGCTCCAAAAGATTTTTCTTTTGAAGTAATCTACAGAGTCAAAGCAGAAACGATTCGTCCAACCTCTCATCCTTCCTTGGCCTTAGTTTCCTTAATGAGTATGTTTTTAGGTTGTTTTCTGCATGTTTTTCTGCACTTTTATTTGATTATTATTGGATTCTTTTTTAAAATTTATTATTTTGCAATTTTAAACTCATTTATTATTATTACCTTATACAAGTTTTCTTGATTATTATTCAGTTTAGATTATTCCGATCTTTATGTTTGTCGTTATTTCTTCATATCCGTCGATTAGATTATTAGCTGACCCATAAACTATTTTCTTCGTTACCTCTTGATTAGTGCGTAACCTCATTTGTTATTTAGTCTTGAATCCGTTTTTGTGATGTAATCTTTTCTATCCTCCTATAGACATATATTTTCCAGATAACTATATCTACGAATGTACAGCTTAAGTAAATGATTTTGTCGAAAAGAGAAAAATTGTCTTCGCTGAATCCTCTTTTTCTTACTCAATGACACTATGGGTTATTTTAATTATCTGAATTATTATTATTATTATTATTATCTAACTTCTCGACTGTTAAATATGACTACTTTTTTATGTTGCTTATAAAAAGCGGAATTTATTGGTGATCAAAGTTTATTCAAAACATTTACATAATATCAGCAGTTGAGATCATGAATCGTTTGAAGCTAGACCACCATGGAAAACCTGGAAGCACTGGACGGCCGTTGTTGTGGGACTCCCCCTCGTGGATGCGCACTGCTGTGGAGTCCCACAACAGGACGAAACGGCCATCCAGTGCTTCCAGGTTTTCCATGGTGGTCTAGTTTCAACTGACTCATGATCTCAATTGTTGAAATTACAATAATCTCCACAAAACCCCTTCCGATACTAATTTACATAATATTTTAAAGTAATTACAGAGAAGGCAACTTGTATTTTTATACATTTTAACGGGTAAAGCTTGTAAGACATTTAAAGATATTTGAAATCACTGTAACTACAGAAAATCAAAATGCATCAGTTGACCGTTTAGGTATTGTTTATTTCTTAACGGAAATACATACTCGCAAATGCACATGCTCAGCATAGATAGATTTTTTCAGCGATTATTCAATTTTTTATTGCATTACTTAAATACATATATCACTTATGTTAAAACACATGACTAATAAATTGTTCAAGAAAAATTCAACATCCTTACCCATCAGGAATCATGTACTTTTAATTTTTCAAATAGAAAGATACTGAAACACGATTACATTCAGGAGATTCTTAAAGATCATTTCAGTACAAAATTGTTGAACATCAATTATGTTAAGCAGTTAAAGCTTTCATGTTTATCACAGTAGCTTTTGTACTAAGCAGATAGATATGACTAATTCATTTAGGGAAGTTACAAAAATTAAAACTAATGGCATATTGGTTTTAATATCGTGGACCTTCCAATTAACCCAGTATATTTTTATAATCAGCTTTTTTCCCAAGAACTGTTGATTAGCAATCATAAATAAAATGAGTGTTTAACTTAATCTTAGTCTAAGTTACTATAATCACAAGAAAAGCTAGTACTTTTATTTGTTTATTATGTGTGTAAAAAGCAATGATTTATTTTGTCAAAGTCATTTGACAAAATGTGCTTCATTAGAGTCATTCAATGGAAAATAAGTTTTCAACTTTTACTCAAAGAAAAAGTTCGTAAGTAAGCAATCTATCTCAAGGATCAGTAGATCATATATTATTATATTATCCAAATAAATTATTTTCATTATGTAACAAAATAAGTTGAATAGTAAACGTTACGCAGTCCACATTCGCCTCTAAATCTAATCAGATTTTGATTATTTAGAATGTCTAAAGAAGAAGTTAGACATTAACATCGTTGGATGCCAGCTCAGTGGACTAATGGTTAAGCGCTTGCGCGCGAGACTGATACGTCCTGGGTTCGGATCTCGTGGGGGCGGGGTCGTAGGTGGGCACTGCTGAGGAGTCCCACACTAGGACGAAACGGCCATCCAATGTTTCTAGGTTTTCCATCGTGTTCTAACTTCAATTGACTCATGATTTCAACTATTGAAATTACTAAAATATCCACAAAGCCCCTTCTGATAAAGAAGAATAGTCATTAAATTAATAAGACGTATTATTATTTGATTACATACATTGACGCTAATAAGCTGTGACAATATATTGAAGGAAAATATAATTATTATCATTATTGATTATTCTGAAGTGGGTTATAATGCCAACTAATTAATTTTTTTGTCAACACATAAGTCTTTTAGTCGTAATAAACACAGAGCCTGGAGAAAATTTTCAATAACCAAACTGGCCAAATCGCAACACGACGAGATGTACTAAAAACTGAATCTTGAAGGAGTGAAAATAATGTTATGGCAGTGTTAATAAGATAAATTAAACATTAAGAATATGATTCTAGAGGGAGGAGTTAAAAGTTCTGAATGAAAAATTCTGAGATTAAAATTACAGGGGAGAAAAAGAGAGGAAACATTCAGGGCATTGTGACCATTCAATGTTCTTAACTGCTGAAAGAGGATACCCTGCAGGTCTCAACTACTTGGTTTGCCTCTAATAACACGGTTCAGACCAACACTTAATGACTTCATGGACTGATTTCTCGTCTTTATTTGCCCATCCATAAGTTCCTTACAATCTGCCCTTATGGTAACTAACATTACTTACAATTGTGAGCACGTATTACGTATACCCAACCACCTAAATTGGCGAGGATTCACAACATCATAAACCGGTTCATCATCTCTGCCCAGTACCCGATGCCTAACCAAAGCATAACTCACTCAATCGTTACATGTTACACTAGGAATATTTCGAAGACACCTTTGATCAAAATTATCAAGCTTATCTATATTTACTTCCATAGACCATATTTCTAAAAGCGGATTGCTGAATAGTAAACTAAGTCTTTTATCGTGAAACTTCTAAGTCTAGTGAGTAGTTTGACACAGTCAACACCTTCATTTATCATGATCAATCTAAGTGATGATATAGAATTTAATTACATTCCTTATTGTTATGTAATGACAAATGTGAGTTGAAATTATAAGACTTAATTAATTGAATTATTTTATGCAATTTGTTTACGAGTTTTAATACTGATTGATTAAATAGGTTTCTCGAGCGACAAAATACTGATAATCCTCTATTAATCCTTAATAATACTGATCTAAGAAAGCTGTCCTACATTATGTAATGAATTCAATCTTAATTTATATAATTTGTTCCAGAAATAACTTTCAAATAACACTTTATATAATGCAGTAATCATGTAGTTTATGTTAATTTAACAACAGTGGTTATTTTTAAAAACATTTAATTGTTAGTAACCATGATATCATCAGTTTTTGTTGCTATGATCAAGTTACCGTTATATTTTTTATACATTACTGAAGAGATTTTTTAATGGTTCAAATAAAAGTATGATGTTTGAAGGATTTAACTTTTAATTAAAAAGATTTAAATTCAAACTCTATACTCGTTCTACTCAAACATTTATGTAAACAATTGTGTATGATCACTAGTCTATACACAAACAGTAAATATAAAAGTCAAATGCATGAACTAGTATTATGATTTTAGGTTTACGTCAACAGATTATGAAGTGGGAAGATTCAACTGATTATTCTTAAATAGAAATAACACTAAGGTTTTTGACATTTAATATTAGACATTTGATACAAAAATATAACGCTTATCGGCATCAAGATTTCCATACATGTAGTTGACACGCATAGGGAAACTGATCATTTCAATCGAGTATTTAAACAATTGAAAATTAGTTGAAAGCAAAAATTGTATAGGGTTCAATTAATTAATACAAGTTCTGCGGTATTCAGTGAAATCTTATTGACTTAAGTAATTACGCCTGTTACCCCCCATGGAGGACTATAGGCATCCCATAAGCATTTCTCATAGAAATCTGTGCTGGGAAATCATTTACCGTTGGTTCCAGTTGCTACTCATCCTTTTATGTCGCTTCCTTTTCTCGGAACACTGTGTTCTTTATTCTTTCACGTTCCCATTTCCCTTCAGAACAACAAGTTAGTGCTTGCTTTGTGATACAATTTGAAGATTCCCACACTGTATGTACTACCCACCTCCAAATTCTTCTAATTTCCTCTTCAGCTAGTAGCTGTTTTACTTCTTGTAACATTAAGTTGTTGTTGATTCTATCCGGCCAACGGCTTTGAAATATTCTTTAAATTATCGTTTACAAATGCCTGTACTTTTCTGATGATGGTTATAGTAGTTCTCCAAGTTTCAGCTACATACAGTGGGACTGTCTTGACGTTTGTACTGAAGATTTTGACTTTGATACTGGATGACAATTGTTTTGAATTCCGTACGTTATTTAGTTGTAGGAATGCTGTCCTTGTTTTGCCAATCTTTTTCTTCACATCTGCATCAGATCCTCTTTGTTTCTCATTGATG